AGCCCCAGCATTTCACAGCATCCTGTTTATTACATCCCCCCCACTCACTCTTGCATCCTGCAACTTCATAAAGGACTGATCACCTGCTCTGAAAAATTCTGACTGTTCTGGACACTTCTTGTGTGACTACAATCTCTCTGATGTCAAGGTTTGATTCAAAACTCTGAGATTCTAAGAAAATTTCTGGTAGGAACATTGTCCCTGCATGACCGGCATTCCCGGCAGTATTACAATATGTATGACTCATCATAAAGCCATGGACATGCACTCCTACACACTGGCCATGTCCAGACAAAAGAGGGCGCTGCTCATAACAACAGAATTCAGGAAATAAAGTGGGCAATCAAGGCTTCAATTCAGGGAAATTAAGCTTATTATACTCTTTTGTCATTAAATTCTTGATTCAGGTGCCAATATGTAGCTGCCATGAATGAACATTCCCAATTTTGTGGGCTTGCAATATATACAAATTACCGGTATTTCTGCAAACAAAATGCAGTGATATCATTTAAATTGCATTTATCACTGAAAGACCACTGACAGACATTGAAAGTAAGATTAACTCTGTGAGCGGACCAACTTTTAATCTCCTGCCATAAGCGCATGCAAACATTTTCTTCTTTTTCTCAAACAGATAGAAGTGAAGAAAAAGACAAACTTGATCCACGAAGTTGAAGAATTTCCTCTGAACCAGACAAGATGTATCATTTCCTTTGGATACATATCCAAAAAACACCACAAAGTGCATTACAAGAAGAACTAGCAACATCCTGGAGAAGTTAAATCAATACTTGAGAGGGTGAACTCTGTTTGACAAACTGTTCCAGGGTCTCTGGAGAGCCTATTTCATCCCTGAGGAAGCCAGTGTTTACCGTGTCCTAGTTCACTTTAATTCAATATTCCACCGACATGTACATGTATTCCTCAGCTGCCCCAAATGGGCCGAGGATTAACTTTGTGCACGCACATGTCTTACCAGTCAATTACTGTGCAAATTGTATACAACTCTCAGTCTGAAATTCAACAAATGTAGTCCAAAGTACGATTCTGTTGTGTAAAGGATGAAGAAATATCTTTCTAAAATGCGTCTGGGAAGCATGTTTAAATAAAAGACGGGGTAGAAATTTCACAGGTGAAACTATGCTTTTATAAGTAGGAGAGGGGTAAATGTATAAATATGAACCATGAATTTGTTGAAAATTTCTGGTAATCCTTCAACGAAGTCATCATATATTCCCTGGCCTGATTTTTAAAAAATGATCAAGTTGATCTGTTTTACAATCCTGCAAACATTACAGGTACAATGGTCCCCTTTCCAATCAGCCAGGGTTATGGCCTACATGTTAGGTCACGGGTGCTATGGTGACAACTACAAGGGGTGTAGGAAAAGGAAGGGGATGGATGAGGGTCTTAGGGTCCCTTGGCAATACAGGCCGGGGCACAGGCTGGGGTGAGTAAGACTTGTTGAGTTATGGTGATATAACGCATGTGTGCTGGTGTGTCAGGAAAAATTAGGCAAGAAAATATGATAGTAGGGGTGTGTTTGTGGGTGGGACCGTGACGGGGTAAGAGCTGGGGGTTGGGGAGGAATGAAGGAGGGGAGGTGGTAGGCTCCAATTTCACTCTTATCTACACACCCGGGAAGTTTTTAAAATTTGTCTTAAATGGTGTTAACCCTTACAGCTATGAACTGAACACACAGCAGCTGTGGACAGCATAGTCATTAACAAAGTGGTGATTAATCTTGCTTGCCATGCAGATGCATGGTCAATAACTGGGCAACTTTGGCCAATTTTCTACACGTTGACCACTGTTTGTGTTTGTCCAGGTAACCTTTGCATATCCCGAGTACCTAGCAGAATTGACCAGTTGATGATCAAACTTTGCTTTCGATGCGCCAAGTTGGGGGTTAATGAATGCATGAAATCCAGAAACGGAAGGATTAAAAAAAAAATGCAATTACAGTACATTGGGCAATCTGTAAAAACTTGTCTCACTGTTGGAAAAGTCTTTCACATTTTGAGAAGTAAAAATAAATCCCCTAGGATGAGAAAAAGTGTGAAGAGAATCTCCCATTCTTAAATAAATTTCAAATGCAACGCACTTCGGTTGCATGCTCCGAGCCTGTTAAAATAGTCATCAACTTTCACTTCACAGAATCCATCACGTTTGAAGCCAAAACGACATATACCAGTTCCCTAATTTAGTTTTTAACACAATATGTGGCGAACGGCTTCTATCAGTGCACAACCAAATAATAAATTGAGACATGGAGGTATTTTTATCTTTTTTAAATCAAAACTTGAAAATTGGTGATGACTACATGTTCTTGGAACACTAAGTCCCGCTGGCACTGATGTTATGACTACAGAAAAATTTTTCCAATTTTTCAAACCGTAGAGCGATATTTCCTCTTGACGCATTGAGGAACAATCTAAGCCAACCCTGTTAGCATGCTTGCCCCATTAGAGTCTTCTCTGAATTTGGTTGCAAAAATAAATATAGTGAGCATGCCCACCATGCCAACAAATCGTTCATCGAGTGTACAGTAAACACAGGCCCTAATCAAACACCCATTCGTCATGAGACATTCACCCCAACCTGCTTTCCAGTGAACTAAATCTTGCAGATACTGTACCACAACAAAGACACCCGTAGTTTACTTTAGACAGTAAGCCTATTGGAGTGAATGCACGATTAAAAATGTTCGTCCTGAAATCTGTGGAGCCATGAACTTGATTTGAACTCTGGTCTTGAATGCAGGTTATCTACGACCACAAAGGTTATTGGTAAACTCTCCAGTCTGTCTGACGATTTCATCTACTGCTGGATTCATAGAGATGCACACCTTCACTTTGATTCCCTCAAGATTATTACCAAACCGCAGTCTTTCATCGTACTAGTTTCGCATTTCAACCATGAATTACAACAGGGTTCAAGAGAGTCTGCTGAATACCGGTATTTCTTCAAATGCTTCAGGGAACAATACCATCAATAACAAGTTTTCTGAAAGAATATCGATTCAACACACCTCTCCTGTTATCATCAACACCTCCTTGGTTTTACATGGTGATCTACAAAGACTTCAAATGAGCATGAAACAGAGATCACCTATTCATCTGATGTCTTGAAATGAATTTTGGGGGGCACTTTTTCTTGACGACAAGAATCCATCAAATTCCACCATCCCATTCCTTATGCAATCCTTCAAAATGTCTCAGCACAAGGTTTGCATTTAGTACAGTTAAAAACATGCTTACATGTGCGTATCCTCAACAAATTTACATGTCCATCTCACGTATCATGCATAGAAGTGAACGAAACAGATGTGCATCTTTGTCAAACAATTCAGCAGCTGTGCAGGGTAATTAACAAAACGCAGTCTGGCTTAGCAAGTGTGCAGAACAAACCAGACTACTGCCACCACTGATCAGACCAACTAGGCCATACGAAATTAAATTCCTCTCCCAACATGCTGGTAGTCATTTGCATGAATGATTTCCCTCCGGCCTCCGAGTTCGGAGAAAATGAACAACGGAGTGTCTCAGTCGAGGTGCGAATGTTATACATTGACTGGGATGACATGTGCTATCACAATCAGTAACTACCGGTATGAATACAACCCAAACTTATCAGTATGCAAACAAAACCAAATACAAAAACAGGTGTCTCCCCTTTGTTGCCAAGAACAGTTCTGAATAGGAGGTGCTTTCTTGAAGCTTTATCAACCCTCTGTTTGTAATGCAATAAATTTTTGGAGAATTTCTAGATGAAATTTTCAACAATCAGGTAAAAAGCTGGCTTTCATTTGAAAGACCAAGTTAGCACTCCTATAAAAAGGAAGACTGGTGTAAACCTAATCCTAAACGATGGCAGAAGCTAAACAGAACTTAAATTTGAAGTCAGACGTTTGAAGTCAGATGTACTTTTTATTTGACAGGTGTTTAAAAGAAATTCAGTTTCCTCAAGAATAATAGTTTAGGGAAGTTAAAAAAAAATTTTACAACACATATTTCTCATTGATTTCCCATACCATCGCCAATGCATCAGAAAATTCCCCAACTTACATGGAAGTTGGTCTTTAGTTGTGTCAACATGGTTTTGTTTATTTACAAGAATGTACAGCATTATGCATTACTGTTCATTGATTACATATTTCTGCAAACAGCCATACATATAATATCATTTCTTTGCCATTTTTCTCAAGCAAGGTACAACAGTTTCCCCATTCCAGCATTGATGAGTCAACAAAAAACCTCCTGGGAAATTCCAAATCTCACAGTGAAGCTAACCCTGGTAATTGTCAGTTTTTCCAACGAATGCATGATGTATGACTGCTTTCAACCACTAAGAGCCTCAAACTGCCTTTCCAACAAGAAAAAGTTGACAAAATCTGAAACCTTCCATGAAACCCTGGCATGCCCAGGCAGGAAACTCTACATTTTCTACATGACTGCAAAGTTCAAGGCTAATGGTAACACACTTGGGATTAACTATCTACTGCATTGACATGTGACTGTTTCCCAAGTTGCCCAACCAGATACAAATTAGTTACACTACATGTACTTGACCACGGTTAAACAAACACAAACCAGACAGGTTTTTTCCTCCCAAAGTTCCTAGGTGAATCACCTAAACCTCAGGGGATTTAAAACAAAAACTACAAGAGCACCTACTCTCCAAGTTGAAAGACGGAGTTGATAAATATTGTGAAGGGTTTACACAGGCTTGTTTTGTACAAGTCAAGTTGTCCTTTGAGGTTAACTCAAGTTAACCTTTCAAAAAATTTCAAAAGTCATTCAATTTATCATTGCTCACTTGTTTCCCTGACACGAATGTTACAAATTATTAGCAGCAGCACAAAATGGAGCCTTTGTGAAGCCAAGAAAAATTAACATTTTAAGCCTTTTTAGAGACGACTTTTATCCATGATTTCATTTATCCAATCATTTCTTTTCTTCATGAATAACAGCTATTGACAGAAACACTCAGCAACTTACCGATAACTTTGATTGTTGGCCCGTCGCATCAGTGGTCATCTGGATCCCACCACTGGGGGCACTCTTTCGCCGCGCTCGACCAACGCCATCTTGGCTGACGTCTGCAGAAACAGAAGAAAGAAAAGACAGAACAGTTGAGCAAGACATAGAATTGATGGGCAAAGGAACGTGGTTTATTCACATACGTGCAAACAGGTCCAAGAAATGATCTTGCAATGTGCATTTCTTAATGGTTTTCTTAAATGTTGAAAACTCTAAGAATTCATTTTAGTCACAAACAGTCATGAAAGAGACATGATAAGATACAGTATTCTTATAACAAACAAGAAAAACACTTGTTTCTCTTCAAAGCCTTGATCTGGATGTCCTTGTTCCTCATCTAGAAATGAGAGACAACGACACTGCACAGCATCATCATATTACATCTGCTCTTCAGCCTTGATCCTAGTCAACCTCTCTCACAGCTGCCCACATCAGGCCCCATTACATACAGTGACCTGATCAGCACTGGTCAAGCACTGAGTGAGGATTATGCATGCAGTGGTCAATCATCAACGGTCTGGTCAATAGGCAATTTGCTGCCAACCTTGCAGCATCATTCATGACCAGTCTTTGTCCATGTCTGTCGTCTATGATCCATGTCAATCATAATCAGAGTCAAAGAAATTGTGTCTGACTTGCCCATAAAAAATAACACAGCTCCATCCCAAAACTAGCATTGCTGCTGCAGATCTTGACCGTTCCAGACAAAGTACATGGACATATTCCAACAACTGAAATATAATCTACCCCGTACACACAGGATGAACATATGCATGCTATAACTACTACAAAAAATTAACAAACAAATAAATAAACAAATCTTAAAAAATTAATTCACATCTTTATATTACATTTATGTACCCAAAACGATGTTATAAGATAAACATTTCCCATTTGAAGGAAATCAGGATCTCCATACACACAGCTCCTCCCAGAATAATGATGCAGACAAAATAATTTTTAATGACTATTCACCTACCTTCTTCAGGGATATCTTTCAATTTGGGAGCATTGCTACGGAGCTGAATACCATAGATACCGGCCAGAATTTGAAATGCGCTACCCCACATTCCTGTATGGAAACTCATGGTGGAAAAACGTTCCCAAAATCTGTCTCGCTGCTCGTAGAATATCCAATCCAAATACAATAAAACCTCAGAATGCACGGTGCCTTAACCAAGACTTCATTTCCAAGGTTTCACATGCAAAGTTCACAAGAGAAGTAAAATATCCTCCTTAATTCTTCCTGGTCTAAGATGTAGCATTAAGTCTGCATCGGGTGAAATGATTCCCTTCAGTAGGCTGCCAATGCGAATTGTGCGAGTGTACATGTATATACCAACATCAACAGCAATGTAAGTGCCTGTAGAAATCTACAGGCTGGGTTTACAATACGTGGCATGTGAGGGTCAATGGGCTTTGCAACGAACAATCAGAAGCAGTCCCGTTGTGATTGTGCATGTACTGTGCCAACAAAAACAAGACGGGTTGCCTATTCTGCTGCGCCGCAAGATGTCCAGTTGATATTGGGGATGGCATGGTCTCTCGTCACGTTTTTCACATGGTATGGTTGTACAGCATCTATCTTCGTCAGCAGTGGCTCAATCATTCAGCTAGTGGACGATCAAAGATGGGTGTGTCCACCGTTAACCCACCGGCACAATCGCCGACCAGGCAGCAAATGATATACCTTCATAACACAACCATCCACCACCACTCATTAAAATTGAAATGGATCTTTGCGACAGACTTGGATCACTCCGGGGGTCTCTCATCAACCAATAGCCGGCTTCCGCTACTGATCCTGACACTACTAGAATTGCTAATATCCCGCAGATAAATAAAGCCATATTCACCCTCGTTCGTTAGATATTTACAATCTTATCTGATCCATTAACGAGATGAAATGTTGCTTCACATTCATTCTTTTCATAACTCCACCAGACCCTTATCTGAATATATATATGTATCTATTAGACATAATGCAATTAACGAAGTGGTCACTCTTGGTGAAATGAATATTTAAAGTGCTCATCATATATTGATTTTCAAGGCTTACTTTCTCAAATATGCAAAATACGCTTTGCAGAGCTCCGAGTATACGCAGAATGTCTGTTAACAACATGACATCATCCCAAAGGCATCTGTAAAGAAACACAGTGCTAAGGCAGGCAGACACATTTCAGTATTGTGCATTTCAACAATGACCACTTATTCTCACGGTACAAGCGCTTCGTAGCGTCGCTGTTCAAAGACTATGACAATACACATGCGTGTATTATTAGTACATGATAAACATGTAACGTCTCCACAGATTATTGTGTGACCTCTATCAGCATTTAACAGAGGTTGACAAGCAAAATAAAGACCAAAAAATTGGCATTCAAGCTGAACATTTTGCTCACTCAGACATTTGGAACTGTTTCCAGGTTGTATTTTGAGTTTAACTGGAAAAAACTTTCTGCAAAAGGATACCAATTTTCAATGTATGACAAATGTCGTAGATGCATGATTACAAGGTCAATGATCAATAAAAACGTCCTGCATAACACCAAATAAATTGTTCATTATTCCTGCTAAATGCTTTCTGATTTTTCTGGGCTTTTAACTTTTTTAACAATAAAAACAGATTTGTCCAATTGAACAGATAAACAAAACACACATTCATTATCTTATAAATATAAATCTTAGGTGAGAACTATACAATTAGGAGTCTTGATGTCTAATTACAGCTAGCATGTATGACCATCTGGTTTGCTATTAGTCCAGGTTTAAAGTTTGAATGAATTAATTCTGAGCCTCATGTACATGTATGTAGGTGTGTTTGCATCTTACAGCAGGTAGATAGCAATTAATTAGCAAGCTGAACCTATAGGCACCTATGTTAAGTATGAGGTTGGTTGTGACAATTAAGCTGAAACCAAGCTAAATCAACCTGGCAATAGTAAGCTTGTTCATGACCTTTGCAAAGTTCTTCACAGTTTTATCTAGATAAGACTTTCAAACAGTGCAAATACACTGGAAGGAACAAAACCTAACATTTCTAAAAATACCAGCTGACATGTTATTCCAATTTTATGCAAATCAATTATGCAGTCTTTGAAAACTTACTGGTACAATGGCACAATTGAAATTGCTCAGTCAATGAATGCGGTCTAATTTTGGATGCAAATTCCAAACTTAATAATTATTCCCCTGCCTGACCGATAATCTGATAACTTATGCACAGACCAACAATGGTACAGTTTCTCCATCCATACTGCCTTAACACTTTCATCATATTGATCCAGCAAAACGACGCCAAGATCGGCTGTCGGCACGTCAATGAAAAGCCAGAATGGCAGGAAGTGTGGGTAAATATGAGGCCTAATTCTGTTTAATGGAATAATGCAACGTTAAGTGGTATAATTCAATGTTGGAAGACACACCCTGTCTGATGCTAACAAGCCATTAGCTCCATCTGTGGTGCCACTGTGACTGTTTTCTTGGGCTATAAATGTCACCTCTTTGGCTTTTTAGTTTGTCTCTAGTTTTCCTTGGCAGAGTGAGATCATGCTTGTGGTTCATTTGGTTTGGAATGCAGACAAACGTGGCTTGAGGGAACATGCATCGTTGCAAAGAAAAACACTCTTGGTGAAAAAAATTGAATTTTGAGCAACTTGGTAAATCTAACCTAATTACCGAAATCACACATACACACTGCCTTCAATTCTTGTTTAATTCAATCGTCCTGGTCATTTAATTCCTAAACAGTCTACTCATCATTCCCAAAAACATTTGATTGAACATACTAAGATAGCTGGAAATAATTTTGTCATAGTAAGAACCTAGACGTAGACCTCATTCCTATGCAAATTTCATTATTGCTCTCATCTTCAACTGGGTCAACTGGATGTTGCCATGGTATTGATTTTCATGTGAAGGAGGCAACCGGAATAATATATTCAGTCAATTTCTTCTGGTCTGCTTGATAGTTATCATTTCACAAAGCACAGCTGCGAATAAATTCGGCTCAAATGCAGTTGAAAATTTCCACATGGTTCACAGAAAGCCATGAATGAAATTTGCTAAAGACACTATTAAAATGTTAAGCACATCCTTTGGTTTAGATCTTTAAGTAATTTTCACAATAAAAAGGGGTTCATTAGATAAAAATGAAATAATACAAATGTTTCTAATTACACTGGCCAACCACAAACCTAACCTAACACAAAGGCTTTTTCAGACTTCAATTACTTAGTGATAGAAATTGCTGATAATTTGCTCATCATCTTAACAAATATCTAATTATCCAGTCCCAGTTTCCCCTTCAAGTACCCAGAGATTTGAAGCCAAGGGAATACTGAGGAGCCCTTGCTCTTTTTCTACAATTTTAATACCAGAAATCGACAGACCATTTCACTAATAAATTCACAGTTATGCGTGCATGCACACAAATGGCCTTGGCAGCAAGAAGTGCAGGCCATTGGAACTGGACAGGGGTGCAATTTCGATCATTTTCTCCCAGGTTTTCTGGCTTTGTTCAGTTATTAGAAAATCTCATTATTTATCGTTTTTGCTAGAAAAAAACATGAAAGGAGACTAGCTTAGATACAGCAATCTCGTGAGCACAGGAAAAATCACGACTGTAAAATCTTTTTTCAGAGCACTAAAAATCCTGCTTTGATTAGAAACTGAGCAAAAACGATTTATTTTAATGGGATTTTCTGAAGAAAAAAACTGAACAAAGATAGAAAACCTGAGAGAAAATGATCCAAATTGCACCCTGGTACACTTTCAATGGCCAGCTCACACTTCTTGCTGCCAAGGCCATTTGTGCGAATGCCTGCATAATTGTGAATTTAATTGAGTGAGAAGGTCTACTGGACGAGGTCACGGTAGAATTAGCCGGCACGTACCCCCCCCACATGCACATGTACATCATCGGGATTACTTAACTGCTAAGATCTAGTTCTAGATGGCAGAAATACTATCGAGCACCACTGCTGCGTTTTTACTCTCTTTAATGTTCAACCGTTTCCAGCTACAGGATAGGACTCATTTTTCCATGCCTTAAACCCCAATCCTCAAATGCATGTGAATCATAATCTCCCTGGATTGATCAGCTTAAGATAAGGAATTTACTGGTGTTACAGTGATACATTTTGTGATACAATCGTCTGTCTGTAGTTAAGTTCACATGAATTTCCAACAATAAATTGAACAAAATGTTTGTGTTCTTCCAGAGAGGATGAAATCTTTCACAAATATTCTCAAGCAAATGCAAAGAACTCTATACTCAATACCAGTACACGTGTTGCCGTTGGCCAACCTTGTTGAGACAACGATAAAAACTTCTATGTCAGAATGCGCAATGATTCAGGATTGTTGTTTAGCCTATTAAAACTGATCTTACACACCTACAGTTTGGATCATGGACAATAAAGCCTATGAGAAAATTCCAGGGTGTCAAACCAAGCAGACAAGATAATGACTTCTGTCAGCTGCAAATTTCATGATAAATCACTTTTATTCCTCTCAATCTGTTTCCTCTTATTCATTTTATGTTGTGTGAAATCTCTCAGATTTTTTCCTCAGCACCATGCACGAGCACCTGTGTTATCTATCAAGCCCATCCGTTTCATTAAAGGCCAAGTACAAGCAAAGTAACGTACTGTACTGAACATGTTAATATTAGTGAAGATATTGTAAATCAAATCACATGGCAGATGCTAAAATCAAGGTCCGTAGCTTATCCACCCAAAAAAAAAATGGATGCTAGACAATTTCTTAGACGTTCGCGCTCACTTTTTTCCACAAAACATTGTAAAAATTTCCCCGCATCAGAAGAATTTGCTAAATTGAGTGAATTTTGTCCAATCATCTAGTTTTCGTGCGAAAGATGCATATGGTAGGTAAGTCTACCATATTAAGTCTAGTTAAGTAGTTAAAATCAAGGTCCAAGATCAACAAAGGCCTTCTACACATTTTCCTGACATAACATTTTTACAACGACAATGCTTGACTGGTGTGGACCTTGTCACGGGCATCAAATTCTGAACATTGATCTCCAGAAAGATAACATTGATCCACAATGGTAAATCATGTCATTTTTATTAGTCACCAAGGTTTTACAACAATTACACACTATGCAGGTGCTTCAAGCCCAGATGATTTTTATCGCTATGGTAACACATGCTCCCAGACAGCACATTTCCATAATTGCCAAAAAGGTTCTCAACGCAACCGTGGAAACACGGTTCACTGATATCATTGACATTACGACTACTGTGAATGAAATGAAACACCACGCTCGGCAATCACCACCCTAGAAACCCACTCTGAAGCGGAATAGCGATCAGATGAGTCACTGTCTTTTTTTTTCCTCCTCTCCCCACTGGCTGTCATCAGGTACTCGAGAATTATGTGATATTACTTTGGGTGAAGCCCATACAGACAGGTGAATACAAGCATGGAATGATAAGAGACCAAGGAAGTGGGAGGGGCAGTGTGATACAGTGGGATGGAGAGTAACATCAGGTCATGTCATATGTTGAACTCAAAGAGAATTCAAACTTGACCGAGCTATCTTCCAATGACCAGTTCAACCTTCAAGCAGTGATGAAGATGACCACCAAACACAGACTGTACTGGTCACTCAAAGCCAACATTCAAACTACATGGGAAGGGGTCAGTAAACATGTGGTACCAATCCAATTAATTACACAGGTAGATG